CGAAACACAATGACTTTCGCATTGTTGTCTTGAATTCCATTGGCCCTCAGTAGATATTGATCATCATCATTTTTTTTTTTTAGTTTAATCCACAACGAGGAAGCTCTTGGCCTGTATCTCACCTGATGGTAAGTGACGATCAGGCCGAAGGTGGAAGCGAGCTTCACCCGGAATCCTCAACCACGGAGGAACTGGCTATCTTACCTTCTAACTGCTGAAACACAACAATGCTGTTAACATTGTTGTTATGGCGACAGACTTAGGTAAGATGGTGGTAGCTAGCCAGGCGGACTTAGAACAAGCCCTACCACCAACCAAACCGAACAGAAAAATCTGCCCCCACTGGGAATCGAACCCGGGACCTCTGCGTCTGAAGCAGGTGGTGGTACCACTAGACCACAGAGGCGGTTAAAATATCATCATAGGATGAAACTGTAGTGGGGGCAAATATAAACTTAATGCTTTATTTTTTAGTTTAGACTAGTATCTACTGAGGGCCAAGAGTCGTCAATAATCCAGTCATAATATTTATTTACTTCAAACTTAGAGTAGGCGCACACCGTTGATTTTTAGTTGGCCGATAGTTGTGCCCGATTTTAAATTGTATGAAGAATCGGCCAAATCGAATCGGCGTAGTGTGCGCACTCCCATACATGCCCATATTGATCAACTAAACTATCAGCCGACGAAAAATCAACGGTGTGCGCCTACTCTTTTAAACTTATTGTTTCTATTTTTATTCGATGCATCGATTTCTTCTTCCAAAATGAGATCTCGATTTGCGTCATGGCATTTGTCCGAACTGGTTTAGTCGCTGACGTAAACAGGTGTGTCGTGTCTGAGATTCCCCGATTTATCCTCTAACGATATTTGTGTCAACTTTAGTCATCATTTTCGATTTTATTTGTCGAAACTGAGAGCTGTTTTGATTACAAAATAGTGTTTAAAAATGTAAAAGTTTCGTTTTAACGGAAACTTGACCGCAACTTTTGGGGACAGTTTGTTGCAGTTTTTGTTGCTGCAGTGCATTCTGTGCAATAATTGAGAGTTTAATGCCCGTTTTCACCATCAGTCCCTGATTTTTAAGTGACCCCTATAGTAACACATAACAGGAATTTTATTTTCATAGAGGTCACTTAAAAATTAGGGATTGATGGTGAAAACGGGCATAAGAATCTTAACATTTTTATTAAAACATAAACATTAGAAAATATAATATAGTATTCAGAAACATACTGGCATTGCTACCTAACCTAGTACTAGGAGGTACAGATTCGAATCCAAGGCATTTTGTTTGCCAAAATTAGGCCACCACTAGGCAAGGGGGTAAAAATTTACTGCCTCAGATCGTACTCGGACTCGAACTCACGACCTTTGTTTGCTATGTTAGATACTTTATGAGACACTAGCGGCCGCCCGCGACTTCGTACGCGTGGATCTCGTTTTACCCCCCCTTCATCTATCTTACGCGGTTCAGATTTTTTCATACAAATGTTTTTTCCCGCTAACTCCCGTTCCCGTGGGAATTTTGCAATATCCTATTGTAACTAAGCTTAAAGTTTACTAAGGTACCTGCATGCCAAATTTCAAGCGTCTATCTTACGCGGTTTAGATTTTTTCATACAAATGTTTTTTCCCGCTAACTCCCGTTCCCGTGGGAATTTTGCAATATCCTGTTGTAAATAAGCTTTAAGTTTACTAAGGTACCTGCATGCCAAATTTCAAGCGTCTAACTTAAGCGGTTTAGATTTTTCATACAAAAGGATTTTCCCGCTGATTCCCGTTCCCGTGGGAATTCCTAAGTATCCTATAACCTGCCCAGGAGTATGAAGAATAATTGTACCAAGTTTCGTTAAAATCCGTCAAGTAGTTTTTGTTTCTATAAGGAACATACAGACAGACAGACAGACAGACAGACAGACAGACAGACAGACAAAAATTTTACTGATTGCATTTTTGGCATCAGTATCGATCACTAATCACCCCCTGATAGTTATTTTGGAAATATATTTCATGTACAGAATTGACCTCTCTACAGATTTATTATAAGTATAGATAAAAAAAACTCATCAAACTCATTTATTTTTACAGTTACTTAGGCTTTTAAAAAGCATTTTACACGTCCCAGTATTAACCATACCACTACTACTGCTTCGAGACAGTAAATGGGCCAGTGCTGAGAAGAAGCAGCGCAAGAACCTCAGTCACTATTGTCAGCCTCCTTTTCAAGGGTTTACAGTCTTTAAAATATACAAATTAGTCATAAGTATTGATTGAGTACCTAATGTACCTAAAGTGTAAAAATCAAAAGACTTTTCCGCTGTGACTCAGTAGGTATCATTAGGAATACCTGAGTGCGTAGCCTTTTATGGAAACGTAGTAAAACGTACTATTAACTAAATAATATCTGTGAGCATGTTTAGATTTTACCACCCTTTTTAGACGTCTATGACTAGGATCGAAAGTTCTTTTTGGATCCGTTTTATTTGAGATCATAATGTATTTGTAACGTGTTATCTTTTCTGTACGAGCATAAAAATAATTCTGTGTTATTAGTTATTATAAACATAGCTCAAACCACTAAGCGGATTGTGCATAGGTACGCAGGTAGTTATTATGAATTATTACGTAGCTAGGCATCCTCTAAGAAAGGATTTTCCAAAATTCACCCCCCAAGAGGATAGAACGGGGGTACAAAGTCTGTATGGAGCAAAGCCGCGTTCAAAGCTAAGTTATCTTTAAGTCGTAGGAAAACCACTACACGTAGGTACGTAAAATTAAGCAAGCTTATTCATAGTCCAAAGTACTGCATTTGAATCCGTCGAGCCATTGCTAGCATGCACTGCGGTACAATTTGTCAATAAACACATAATTTATATACGTTGTGCAGTGCGAGGCGTCTGCGGACGATAAGTGGCAGGTCGAACGGTTTGTATACAGGGATAATGTGACAACTCACAAAATGGTATTTTATGAATTTAGTAGAAAGTGCAGTACCTATTTTTATTAGGTAGGTAGGTATACTAAAATAATGTACTGGTCTCCTTCAATTTTAACTTGTACAGAGGAATATAAACGTTAGTTTATCAATGTCATAAATGTATCTTTCTTTCTTTCTTTCTTTCTTTCAATGTGGCTGATAAAGCACACAAGGATGACTGAAGTAACACACACTGAAGTGCCTAACTATATCGTTATTTACCTTTATACCACTCGTAGGTACATATATGAATATTCCTCATTTTCTCACCTTTTATTTCTGCTTATTTCATCTACCCACAATATTACCTTAAACTGTGTAAATAAGATGAACGGAGTTAACTGCTTAAACTTAAAAGTTTCATCATCATTATCATTTCAGCCATAGGACGTCCACTGCTAATCAATGCTTTCCACGTTGATCGATTGGTAGCGGCTTGAGTCCAGGCGCGCTTATCTGTTACCTTTACGATGTCGTCAATGAGTTAACTGCTTAAACCTAAAAGTTTAGATTAAAGGTAGATCTGGTTAGAAGCGATTTTATTAATAATCATCATCATTATTTCAAGAATAGGACGTCCACTGCTGAACATAGGCCTACCCCAATGACTTCCACATCGCAAGGTTGGTTTTTAATAATAATGTTATTTGATAAAAAATATCTAAGCATCATATCAAAAATCGAAGAGCATGTAGGCCATGTAGGTAGATACTTACTCAAGTAAAAAGAAACAAGACTCAACAGCAGCAAAGTTTTAAGTTGCGCACATGTTGCTCACAAGAAACTATAAGGTACTGTGAGTTATGAGCTCGGAGCACGAATGCGAAGTAAAGACAAAAGTTAGTTGACAAAGTTCTAGATTATTACCGGTTTCAACGGAAATTTAATACTACTACAGTCAGAGTGAAACTATCGTGCTGTTTTTAAACGAAAAGCTTTAGGTTTAGAAAGATTTTTTGTCATGACATCATAATATTCAAGTTCTATCTCATGCTAATGGAAGAAAATTTGGTTATGTAGGACTTTAGACCAACGACTTAAGACTGACTTTTGAAAAAAAAATAGTAAAAAGGTATTAATGTGAGGTATTACAGTTAAGCTGCCATGTCTGCATTGATGGTGCGCATAGCATTTTCTTCAAAATAAATCAAAGAACTATAGGCCATTACTTATTCTGTGCTATAGGTACATCCAACATCTCAGTATTAATGTTTTTTAATAATAAAAATGCTCAGAGTTTAATAAGAAGAATTAGACTTTTTACTTGAAAATATTAATTGCCTTCTATGGTTTATGAGAATCGAACCCATAACCTTTTGCTAAATGGGCAACTGCTCTAACCAACTGAGCTATAGATGATTGGTTTTCAAGTGCATTTTACGCTTTGAGCCACCGCAGTTTCATTCATCATCATCATTTCAGCCACAAGACGTCCACAGTCACTGCTGAACATAGGCCTCCCCCAATGATTCCCATATCGCCCGGTTGGTAGCAGTCTGCATCCAGCGTCTTCCTGCTACCTTTATTAGTTTCATTAATGCAGGGTAATATCACCGTTAATCGTCCATCATAAAAAATAGGGAATTTCATTGGTGCAAAAAAAAAAAACCAACTTACAGTAATATTTTTGTGGGGTTTTCCAAACGAATGTACGTACAGGTGTGGGTGAAAGATAATAAGGAAAAATGTATCCTGCCTGGGAAAAGTCGGCCTCTATCTGAATCACTTCAGCCCGCATTTGCCTTCATATTCGTAAGTCAAGTATGAATTATGGCCTTTTAGTTTTCTCACGAAGGTCAGGCGCAGCGGGAAAAAAAAATCCCATTATTGGGGGAAAACGCATAGTTTGCGGTAACTGAATGAAGGCCTTGGTCAATATTATGTGAAAGAAGGTAGACATACGATAATATTAGGCGATGGAAGATAAATTAAGCTTGAAAGATGTCCCTTTCATGACTGACAAGCCCTCTCGATTGTTTTTTTCTGATCTCAACTTTTTTATTGATACTAACAGGCTTACCTGACTATAATGGAGAATAAGTAGGTGTACACAGCTTTTGTTTCAATAATCAAAATCGTTTTGACTTTTTTAGTAATCACCTTTAATTAATATTAAAGGTATAAATAAATACACATAATCACTTCTACTAAGAACTCGTTGCCGAAAATATCGTGACCAAAAATATAAACTGTCACGTTGGCGACCACCCGAAGGCTGTGCGTGACCGTCCTTGGATTCGAACCCAAGGACTTACATATCGAGATATAAATCGAAAGAATTCCGAAATTTCGGACCAAGTCCGGAGTTAACCGTGAGTATTACTTAGCGAAAACTAAGTTATCATTTTGTATGTCCTGTGTAGACTGATGAAGACCTACCTAACGTGAAATTAGTTTAGGTTACGAATAGGAATCGTGATTGCTTCGTTACGTTACGAAGTTACTAGTACTTACGTAGGTACGTACCCAGTATAGCAAATAAGGTAGATACGCGGATTTCTAACCTTATTTCATTGTTTGTCCAAAAATATTTAGGTTTTTTTGTAGATTTGATTTGGATAGAATTTGAAGTAAGGTATTTATTTCAGTATTTTTTTTTGCCCAGGAAAAAAATGATCAGGTTTTTTTTTGATAATAATTTTTACATTTTTTTATTTTACTGGAAATTAAGTTTAACACAAAGCGATCTCCTATGTAAAGGGATGTAAAAGTTGTATGTTCGAAGTAGAACAGTTTATTTAGTACCTAATTACTTACAACTTTCAGCCTCGATTATTAGTCTATGTTATCCATAACTTTATGTATGGGTACGACTTATACGAACAAATTATATAGTAACCTCTTGGTAAATCGGCTCGACAGGGATGATGCCTATCTATGAAAATTGTAACTTTTATTATGTTTTTTCTTTGTTTCTTTGTAGAACGCAACTGTTTGATTACTAATTTAATAGACTGACCGCATCAAGCATTGCAAACAAACCTCAGTGGTTTATGCCAATGCATTTAATTGTAATATGTTTAAGAACTTCCTTTGTAAAATGATAATAAATGAAAAAAAAAATATTACGTAATTATACATATTACCTAAGTGAGAATTTATTTACCTACTGCAAATAAATCAGTCCTCCAGACTCCAGCGAAGGAAAGAGCATACTAATTGAATCTATACCTACGATCTGCTTTCTTTCAATTGTTTAAATTTAAATACAATTGATTCTAATTATTTCTTGTAGTCTAGACATTTTGCGTGCAATGGCTACAAATTGAAACTTAATGAACATACCTACGTGCACTAGGATCATTCAACTTAGCTTTACAAAAAGAAACATGGGTCTTTATGTATAAATTTAGTTTAATGTCAGTAAATATGCTTTCTTTATGTCCACGGTTGTAATAACAGTAAATAAATTATCGTTATTCTCTACAAATAAACTATACAAAAATAACGGTTGGAGTTCTTTGTACAGCGAAATTGTTATGACAACACAACTAAAATAAGATGTAAAGTTATTAAACTATTAACGACTCGTCTCGTGATAATGGAATCTGTGCCGGAGTCGTCCGCAACTTCTTTACAACATTTCGTTCCAATTTCCACAACTTTTGGGTAGAAATCTGTCCAAAACTCGAACGCTTTATAATTAATCGTCTCTGAAGTGCTCATTGTGAAATTTTGCCGATCAATTATTAAGTAGCCAGGTTTCTCTATTTCGAACGGCTCCCAATCAATAATGACCCCAGAATTCGTAGGGTTCGAGTACCAGGCGAAATTGGACCACATTTTCATGATGATTTCTGATATGCTTTTATCTCGGTAGTCCCATTTGTCTAAATCTTTCGGCAAAGCTAGGTGTGGAAGTCCGAAAACAAATATCTGATCAAAATTATGCGGCACCCCTATCCACTCTGGAATTCCTTCATTTGCTATATCCGAGAAAGGCTTCAAATCAAATCTGTACAAATATACTGGAGCTTGCTCGCACAGGTGCTTAGCCAGTTGGTAAGTAGTGGCACCGTGCACTTTATCTGTGTAAAAATCCAAAAAGAGCTTTCGCAAAATAGTTTCATTTGAAGTAGGCGGTATCGGTTTGTAGAAGAACGCGACTGCATCTTGTATGTGATGTTGGTTTGTGAAGCAAGAACTGTTATCTACTGTTATATCAGAAAGGACCACTTCTTCTCTCATAATATCATATTCTCGCTGACTAATACCAGATTCATCACCTTCGTTGTGCAGCAGAAGAGCATCTTCCATGTTCGTGTAACCAGTTAGAACCGGTACAGCGGAGAAGATTTTATCCTTGAAGAGTTTACTTGGTAGTTCTGGCAGAAACGGTGAGGATGTGTTACTGAATCCAGCATCAACGATAGGCTTCCATTCTGCTAGTGGTTCGCCTAAATCCAAAAGAGCTTGGCTGTTGACTCTTCTCAAACATTCGAGCAGTTGGTGAGTGGGTTTTCGGAAGCAACTGAAAGCACTAGCTACTTTATCTACCGTCACAAGTTCTTTTCTTGCTATGTTGACAGTTTCTGGTGAGAGGACGTTGCCACTCATAGCTATGACTTTTTGGTAGAGTCCTGCAGAATAAGATGATACAAGATGGAGACCAACACTAACTGCACCAGCGTCATGGCCAAATATGCAGATGTTGTTTGGATCTCCGCCAAAACTCTCAATGTTGTTCTGGACCCATTGTAATGCAGCTGCTTGGTCTAAAAGACCAAAGTTTCCTGGCGCCTCGTTGTCTAGGGTTGAGAAGAAGCCAAATATGTTCAACCTGTAGGCTACTGTTACGAAGATCACCTGTGAACAATAGAAAACTTATTAGAATATTACGAAAAATCGCAGCATTTTTCGGGTCTCCCTTGTGTACCGTGAATCAAGTTAATTAAGGAAATTAATCATTATTCATATTAAAATTTATTACCTACCTACACAAAAATGCATTGATAGTCTTTTGTAACCACAAGTGACGCAAATACTTTTTATTGTGTATACAATGCCGATTCCTGGAATATAGTGACGTTTCTTCCTTCTAACTTATTTATGGCTAGAGTTTGCCCGCGGCTTCGGCCGCGTAAGTATTGTCAAAATTGGTTAATTAGATCCAGAGATTACCCCCTAAAACCTCACAACCATTACCTTTTTATAATATTCTTTCTTAGTATAGATTAAATTAACTGCAAAAAGTACCTTTTGTTTTAGCACCAGTTGGAACGGATTGATGCTTTGAGGACTCCCGCGCACGAAGTCACCGCCATGGAAGTAAACCATCGTCGGGTACCCCTCCACCTTGAAGTCTGTAACAAAGGGATACATTTGGATTTTAGTTAAATGAACATAAACTTCACAATCGTGTGGCTGAAATCAGAGATATAGAAAAGATGATTGTACTCGTATTCGCCGACGGATTAAAGGTAATCGATTTAGCTCTTTTAACGCCCACTAGTGGAACAAATGAGTCAGAGTAGTTCGTCAAAATCGTTTTTGAACGAGTCTATAGTCTGTTTCCTTAACCTAAGTGATACGAAATTTTTAAATCTCTCTACAGATTGATAAAAAAGCTTTCAAAAGCTTACAGTTCGTTCGCATCAGTCAAATGACCCTGCTGGACAGACTTCTCCAAAAAAAAAAAAAATACATTTTACTAACACATTTTTTAAAACTAAATCCGGTGATCCGGAAAAGTATAATTTTGAAAGACAAACAATGAAATACTTAGAATAAACACTTGCTTGCCCGTTTAATTAATGTTAGTGTAACACGCTCGTCGCTTAGCTAGCACCTCCGTAATTAGTAGCTAACATATCTTTGCATTTAAAACGTTGTCTTTTGTAGCTAATTACAAATAGTTTTTTAATTAAGTTTATTTTTTATATACCTGGCAAAGCTGCAATGTAAACCTGGCCTAAACAACGACTTCAATATTTAGTAGGTACGTTTTCCCCATACCTACGTCAGTAATCACGGTTCGGTGTTTTGTTTTAAACAGCTTCGAAATGTTTGCCTTAATCATTAGAAACGAAAGGAAAATTTGCATTGTTTATTGTGCATTGTAAGTCAATACAAATGCATGCATCATGCAACGATACCCAGACTTGCAACTTGAATATAAGTTGCTAAGTTGAACGGGATATTGATCGTGAATTTTATACACATCATACCTACATACCTCTATCGTATTTTATTCTATGCTAGCTTTTTTCACGAGAATTTTAAAAGAGATCAAGGGTGGGTTGCACCATCTTACTTTAACTTTGAGAAACGTCAAAAATCTGTCAAAATCCATACAAAATACATTGGTTATCGTCATAGTTACGGTCAAAGTTAGGTGGTGCAACTTAGCCTAATTATCGGACGGGTGTTAACATTTCGAAAAATGGCAGTTAACTAACTATCCGTAGGTTTCACTGTCTCTAGGTGTCTAGTTTACAGTCTTGTTTCAGTAGTTTAAGGCTGAGTTGCACCACCTAAATTTAACCGTGACTATAACGATAATATCGGTGTATTTTCTATGGAGTTTGACAGATTTTTGACGTTTGTTAAAGTCAAAGTAAGATGGTGCAACCCAGCCTAAGCGTGATAATGTAACAGACGGACAGCATTTATAGTATTAACAGGAATTGATTGGATTAGTTGGAGTCAAAACCACAACCCTACAAAGGGTAGCATTGCGGTCATCGGTCATAATAAATGAAACAATTAATATTTTCGTATTTAAATCTCTTGTCATATTAATGCTGATATAAATGATGAACTTTTCAAGTTATACCCGCAATTAAGGTAGACCTAGCAATCCAATATTTTCCAAAATTGGTGCTTCAACAACTCCAACTACCTACTGTAAGAATTTTTGCTTCCCCTCACCATAAAAGCAAAAATCCCTGAACATAAAGAAGTCAGTCCAATTACCGAGGTTATAATAATGGTGAACTTTTTATTTTATCCCACAGAAACGTAAAAACTTTTTTCATCCGCCTCATTTACCTACCCTTAAATTAACTTTTGCGGATTCATTTCCATCTTGGAATCAACATGAGGTTTTGCATCTTACTCGAGGGTAGAAGTACCGGTTTTGGCCATATTTATTTCTTGCACGGTTTTTTGCCATTTTAAAATTTGACTAATAAGTAAAGCATTATGAAATTTTAAAAAAATACGTTTTTATTTACAGTCCACAGCCTTTGTCTAACTCTATATTTTATACATTTTCATCTAGGTACATAGTAACAGGTAACTCAGTTTGTTGCTATTTAGATCTATCGACTCTTTTACCCTGAACTTAACACGGGTTACACGGATCATACGGTTCCTACTTACTCACTACTTAAAAATATATTTACCTACTTTTTAAGTTCATATCTCGTAAATTTTCGTTTAGCACTTAAACATTTTAAATTAAATATTGAGAACGCTGTACTTTATTAACATTGCAAACTCAATCTTATTAACAACTTATGTAGGTACCGGCATTGTACAACGTACAAAATTTAATGTCCCATATTTTCAAGTTTGAAGACACATTAAAATTTACAAGAAACCCTTGAACTTATTTTCGGGAAAGGTCTGCCCTTAATTAATTAAAATATTTTACGAAACTGGGGTATTTTCCCCGTATCGTCATTTAATATACTTTTCGTTTTTCATCAAGGATGTAAGTAAAAACTCGTTGTTTTACTTAAAGGGCTTTTCGTTGGAGCTGAATTTCGGACAAATTTAATTTTAAAGGCAACGTCATCATGTCAAAATGTAATTTTTTATCTTGCATGTAAATTTTTCGCGTGAAACTTCAGTATACACGTGTGCATAAGCACAGCATAACGGTTTTCTATAAAAACAGGTTACTGATCCTGAAAGTGCTTCATCTATCCGAAAATTCAATGTTTCCAACTTCCATACATTTAGTAGGTACTGCCACAGTCATGGCACTCATGTCTTGATAATATTAAAGCCTAGATGTTTTCCATGATTTTAAATAAGAATGGAATTTACGAGTTCATTTTAAGTGTTTATTATTTAATTAAAAAAAAAATACACTTTTCATATTGAGTCGCTGGCATACATTTAGTATAGAGGCTGAAAACATTGAATTTTCGGATAGATCCAGTTAATTCTGTAACCTATTACTGATACCGTTATAAAGAGCTCGTGAAGCTCCTTCAGGATCAGTAACCAGATTTTTGATATCTTGTGTAGTTTAGAAATAATCGAGTGAGATCACTTATCATTTCCACCCTGTAGTTTAGAAATAATCGAGTGAGATCACCTTATCGTTTCCATCCTGTATACGCAAGCCACAGTAGAGACCAGATCCGCACGTGAGCCGAAATCCGCGTCACATGAAAAAGGCACTTCGTGCCCGTTTTCACCATCAATCCCTAATTTTCAAATGACCCCTATGGTAACACATAACAGGAATTTTGTTTTCATATGGGTCACTTATAAATTAGGGATTGATGGTGAAAACGGGCATTAAAGTCCGTAGTTTGCGGGGAGTCTTACTCGGACCGGCACGGAATTCTAGCATTAATGACTGGAATTTGCTTAACCATAAAGCCTGTGCATTGTGACTCATTACCGTCATTACGGGTCACTCGGTCAGCCTGAGTCAATAACGAGTCAGGGTTTACGTGCAAATGTTGGCTTTAGTAATTTCGCTATACTTTTTCTATTGTAATTGAACATCGCATGACGCGTGGGCATAGTTATTATTTTAGATTGGTTTGGTCATAGAATTTTGTACGGTCAGCAGATTGGACGACAATGTTTGTAGCAATTTGTGTTTTATAGAGCTTAGGTACTAAAACTACGATGCCATCGTTGAGGGGGTAGGTACCTACTAAGGATGAGTTACACCACCTAATTTTGACTGTAACTACAACGATAAACGGTCTTTTTGTATGAAGTTTGACAGATTTTTGACGTTTGTCAAAATTAAAGTAAGATGGTGCAACCCAGTCTAAAATATTTCACGGATAAGCAGTAGAGTAAAATGCACCTGAAAGGTTACTTCAGTTTCAGTTGGAAATCAAATTTAGTTCATCTCATCCATCAGCAATTATGAACGACTGATGTTATAAAACTTTTGGATGAAGTAGCATTCAGTCATCAATCAAAATAACAATACATATCCAATAACATATCATGCATAATAAAGAGCACGTTTAAAGAGTGGAATCAGATTAAAGATCAATAGATGAAAATACAAAACAATTCAGGAAACTATTTGTTTTAAACTACGCTAACAAAATGACAACTTTTCGGGTCTACCAGGTAGCAAAATGACAGCGCTCGGCCAGTGGTATTAGACTGTCTCCACGTTTGAAAATGTTAAATACTTTAAATGAGGGTTAGTTCTTAGGGAGAGTACACATACATGCGGAACTTAGCGCGGAGCTCGAAGCATAGCGGAGGCGGCAGAAACTAGATGCAAAGATAAAGGACTGTGGCATATTATTATTTATACTTCAATGCCAAAATTTTAACATTAGGCGAACTTAATGCCGTATGCCAATGCCATCTTATGCAGTTGTATTAGGCACTATTTTACAACAACCAACGGCAGAAACGTAAGGAGCTTTGTTTTAATTTTTTTATGTTATCAAACTTTTCTCGTTATTCACGTTTGTTTAGCATGAGATTACGTGGTTAGTGTTCAAAACTTTATTCTAATTCAAACGTTATGCTGAGCAGCATTTTTAATCACATATCGATTCTAGATTTCAAATAGGTATTTCAAATAGGTAGGTATTTCAAATCGAAGCGAGAATGGCAATGTGTCGGTGTCGTAGGTACTGGCTGAATCGAAGTCCAAGGAACGCAGGTTCTAACCCCGCAACCGCTTAAGCTCCGCATCCAACTTCGCATATTCCTATATGTGCCTTTATATTGGGTCTCTCCGGGCCCGTTAGCCCGGGTTCGATTCGACAGCTGATGTGTAGCCGAGATTACGTCGTTAGACCTTAGTATCGACTGAACACGATCTTTTAGTATTATCGGCTCGCTCGTGAATAGCATGGGAATAGGCACTTAGGTGTATGTTAAACCACCTAGCACCTTGCATTGGATAGAACAAAATACTTACCTAGGTATAGATCGTTTCATCCACGATTTCCACGAAGATGCGCCCCACCATTTTTCCGCTAATGTTTGAGTGTTATCGGTACACGCTAAATTATCCATGAGCGCACACGCACGCTACAATGAGAGCTATCGTTTTTATACTTAACAGTTGGCACCCCTGGCGATTGACAGGACCTTACTCTACAGTGGCGCTAACTGGTAAGCGCTAAAACGATAG